ACTTCTTATTGCTTAATCATGAGTCATATTTCTCAAAGTGATAGTGATCTTGAATCTCCTAAAAGTTTTTCTAGAATTGTTAAGGAGGTTGAGGCACTAAAACTATAGAGACAACAAGAGGTACTTCAAAAAGAAAGAGAAAAGATTGAAAGAGAAGTACAACTTATTGCTCTTGAGGAAGAGATAAATAAAATTAAGCAACAAGAAGCAAAACTTTTAGAAAAAGTCAAAAGAGTTCCACAAAAAGTTCCAATGCCTCTACAAGCCAAGAGGATATGGGTAGTTTGAATGTAGATGAATATTACCAACCCATACCTAGAAGAGTCATTAAGGAACCAAAGGTTAGGGAATCAAGAGTTGATCTCCCTTCCTTTCATGGAAAAGAAGATGTGGATGCCTACTTAGATTGGGAAATGAAAGTAGAGCAAATCTTCACTTGTCATCAAGTAGGTGAGGAAAGAAAAGTTCCCTTAGCCACCTTAGCTTTCCAAGGACAAGCTATGTATTGGTGGACAGCCTTGGAAAGAGAAAGGCGACTTCATAATGACCCTCCTATTGCCTATTGGAATGAATTAAGGAGTGCTATGAGAAGAAGGCACATACCTTCTTATTATAGTAGGGAGCTTATGGATAAGCTCCAAAGACTCCAACAAAAGAATATGAGTGTGGAGGAGTATAGGCAAAAGATGGAGTTGTATCTAATGAGGGTTGGAATAAGGGAGGAAGAAAGATTAACAATTGCAAGATTCTTGAGTGGTCTCAACTTTGATATAAAAGATAGAGTTGAATTACTCCCTTATAGGGACCTTGATGACTTGGTCCAACTTTGTATAAGGGTTGAGCAACAATTTCTTAGAAAATCTTTTAAAAATACCAACTCTAAATCTTATTTAACAAGGAAGAACACAAGAGGGAGGGAATTTCATTTAAAAATTATGCTAAAGAAAACCCCTCTAAAACTCAAGAACTTGACAAAGATGAGGAAAAGAAAAAGGTCACCTCACATACTAGTTCGAAGACGAGTGATATCAAATGTTTTAAGTGTCTAGGAAGAGGCCACATTGCCTCTCAATGCCCCACCAAAAAGACCATGATCTTAAGGGGTAAAGACATTTATAGTGAAGAGTCTTCATCATCTTCCTCTTTTAGTGAGAGTGAAGATCAAACTAGTGGTCATGAAACAGAAAAGCTATATCCTGTTGATGGTGATCTTCTTATGATCAAAAGGCTTCTTGGAAGCCAACCTTGTTCCACTTCATTATCACAAAGAGAGAATATCTTTCACACAAGATGTTTAGTTTCCAAAAGACATTGTTCTCTCATTATTGATAGTGGATTATGTTCTAACTGTTGTAGTACAAGGTTGGTTAACAAGTTGGCCCTTACCACTATTCCTCATCCTCAACCTTATAAACTTCATTGGCTTAATGAAGGTGAGGAATTAGAGGTGAATCAACAAGTGAAGGTCAAGATTTCTGTAGGGGACTATAAAGACAAAGTTTTATGTGATGTAATCCCTATGGAAGCTTGTCATATTTTGCTTGGTAGGCCATGGCAATTTGATAAACACACTATACATGATGGCCTCACTAACAAAATCTCCTTCACTTATAAAAATAAGGAAATTGTTTTTAATCCTTTAACACCACCCCAAGTGTTTAAGGATCAAAAACAAATGAAAAGAAAAAGAATTAAAGAAAGAAAAGAAAATAACTTAGGGAAGAGTGTGAATGAAGGGGACTCCACTAAGGTATTTGTGACCAAGGAGAGTTATTTTATTACCAAACAAGCCTTGAAAAGAACTCTCTTTATTCATAAAAGTCTTGACTCTTATCCTAATGTTGCCACTAATCTTAAAGTTGAAAATGAGAAACAAAATAAACTTCAAACCAAGAATTTTCAACTTCGAGATATAGTGAAGAAGGAGTGGACTATTTCTAGTTTTACTCCTTATACTACTTCCTTGGAGGTGCACAAGGGAGAAAGTATTTTTGTAGTCTTAATAAAGCACCCAATTTTTGGTTTTCATTGTTTGATAGATACAACTTGTAATAATCTATATTCTCTGTTTGCTCTTATGGGAAGTTCTTACTTTTTTGAACTTAATATGATTCCTTCCCTACAAAACAAATATAACTTATATGATTCTGAGTATCTAGTAAACAATCAAATCCAAAATTGTTTAGGGCATTTTCTAGTAGTCTTTTCTTTATTTTTTAGGAAAAGCCTAGGTTACCATTTAGGGTACTTTAGGCAAGATGTTGTAGGGTTTAAAAATCATTCTTTTCATTGTCTTAGTCATAGTGTCATTACATTCTTAAGATTTACTTTTAGGTTATGCTTAGAAGAGGAGCCTATTTCTACTTTAGGGAGTCTAATTTTAATAGTTTATTTTTCTTTGTTAGGTTAGATAGAAGGACTCCTCTTAGGTTCCATGATCTAATCTCTTACCATCTCACTTTTTATTCCTTGCGTGTTATACATGTAGGTGTTGATTTTTCTTCCATGCATCCTCTAGATTTAAGGACAAATCCTTTTCAAGAGGGAGGGGATGATGGAATCATACTTTGGAGTGCAAGAGGTGATACACTAAAAGATCCAAGAGGAGTAGGCTAGACATGGAGGATTGGGCCAATCAAGGCCCAATGGGCCCGATGGGCTTGGAAGGCCCATATCAAGTTTCACATGGGCCTATCTTGTTATGAACATTCTTCTTATAATTTGTTAGCATAGTTTGGATATATTTTGGTCTTGTATTTTGGACCACTTAGAGTATCATTTTGGGTTGTAGGCTTATTGGGCCTAGTTTTGGGTTTCATTGGCCTTTGGGCTTTTGACACCCAATATTGGGCTCATTGTCTTTCTTGTAATTTTTCCTTTCCATTGTATTTGATTGGCCATTGTATTTAGGCCATTAGAATAGGATTGTACAAGGATTACTTAAATAGGCCATTTAGACTAAAATTAGGTTTAATTTGGAAGTCATTTAAGTTACATTTGAGTCACATGTTTAACACCATGGGTGGCTGAACATGTGCCACTCAAATTAACCCTAAATGACTCTCAAATCAAACCTAGATGCACCTTGGAACCTAAATTTTCGGCCAAGCACATGAGAGCCAAAATTTGAATTCAAATTTTGGGCGCCACATGTAGGCTTTGAATTAGGCGCCCAAAGTGTGCATTTTCCAGAAGCCTATTTAGGTGATGCTTCTCCTTAATGTACTCACTTTTGAACTTCTGAAATTTGAGAGCATTTCTTTGCCAAATTTCCCTCAAGAGTCACCGAGAGCTTCATCTTCAACCCTAGGAAAATTCACCCTAGTTCCTACCTTTTGAAGTGAGCTTTCCTTTGTTCCTTAAGCTTGGATACTTCCATCCATAGCCTAGGTTCTCATTCTACGTGTTCTTCCTTCAAACAAACAAAATCCATTCGGTTCAAGTCTCCTTGAAGAGGATCCTACGCTTAGTGAAGACAAGGAGTAGTTCATTCATCACCTCTCCTAGCTTTGCCATCATTCAAGTTCAAGAGACATTGAGTTGTCATTATTATTTTTTACTAAGCTTTTGGTTTTGAAATCAAACTTAAATTGTCATGTGATAAACACGACGTCTTCAAATATAAAATGTCAACTATTAAAATATATAACAAAACTAATTAAAATAACTAGTTTGGCACTTATACATATTAATTAAAAATTAGTTTGATTTTTATTTTAAACTTGATGTTACAACAAAAAAATATTTATCATTAAAATGGACCAACTCCTTAAAAATATTTGAATTGATCATATATTAAAATCAAATTCAATAAATAAAATCATCTTTATTTTCATCGGGTAGAAGAAAAAAAAAGCACTCTATATGACCAAATCTACATTCAAAAAACAGAAAACAAAACTTATTTTTATGAGTAATTATTTATGAATAAAATAAAAATAAATTAGACAAAAAAAAAACAAATAAGGAATAACAAAGTCTTGTAAAATTAGAAGAACAAAAAATACTACTAAAAGTGATATCTCTTTGATTTAAATATATTTTTAATCCTTTAAATTTAAGGTAAATTTAGTTTTAGTTCCTCAAATTTAAAATTGATATTTTTAGTTTTATAATTTCAAAAAAAAAAAATTTAGTTCTTATACTCAAATTTTGTTAAAAAATCTATCAAATACTATTATAAAAAATCTACCTACTAATATTCTTGTTAGTGAAAATACTACTTTAAACTTAATTAATAATACATAATTATTTCAATATGTCACTTTCGAATATACATTGGTGACTTAGGAACTAAAATAAATTTTTTAAAAAATTATCAAAACTAAAAATAATAATTTTAAATTTGAGAGATCAAAAATAACCTTATCCTAAAATTAAAGGACTAAAAATTTATTTAAGCTTATATATTTTTATAATAATATAAATAATTATTAAATTAATGAGTTAAAATCATAATATATTTTAAGTTACATTACAAATATTAATAATGAATTTATGTTTCTTAATTTCTTAAATAATATCTTAAATTCAAAACTTTATATATATATATAATTTTATTAATCATTAGTTTAACCGGTGTTTTAATTTGTTCTTATATTTTAATTTATGACGAAGTCAAATAATATTATTAATAATATCATTAAAAATATAAAACTTTTTTTAAAGCTTTCTCTAAATTTTTTAATTGAGAAACTGGTCATCGACAAATGTAACACCTTTTTTTTATTTATCATAAAAAAATACATATTTTTAATTTTAAATATAAATTTCTTTTAATTATTTGAATTGTATTACTTTTGTCATTATAACAATGAAAACTTAAAAAAAATTATTAAATTAATAATATTTAATGACAATAATTAATTTTTTTTAATATGCACAAAATTAATTTTTTATTTTTATTTTTTTACTTATAACTTAGAAGAAGGCTGACGTAATGTAAAAAAAAAAAAAAATGAACATTCTATTTGTATAATTCAGAATACCCCCTGAGCTCTGTTTTCCACAACAATCGTGATTAGGTTTACTGAAGAGTGTGGCCTCAACGGTTGAGAAAGGAACATTCTCTCACCCAATCAACAAAATATTCCAAGAAAATAAGTTTTTTTTTAATTATTTCATTTCAACTTGAATCTCACCAACCTCTCTGATTCAGTGATTCATTCTCACCAAATGCTTCATTTCTAACATCTGCAGGCACACAGTAAAATCCATGCACCCTCACATCACACCCTCTGATCCTAAAATCTAGCACCTTGATCCTCTTATGGGTATTTAACAAATTAACTGTTTTCTTCACTGGATTTGGAAAACAGGTTGTTTGTTGATTCCATGGAAGGGTTGGTGAGTTCCGGGATCAACACGGTTCGTGTTTTTGGTGTTGGAAAGCACCATTCTCGTTTTCTTCCTTCATCAACGTTGCATCTGAGGAATAGTGTGTGTGGAATTGGAATTGGAATTGGGGTTGTGAAGAAGAGTAAGAAGAAGCAGTGTGTCGTTGTGGCTGCTTCTGTTGGGGGCTCCAAAGTGGGCCATTTTGAGAACACACTCCCTTCCAAAGGTTGTTGTATTATTATATTGTTTATAAATATGCATGGTATGTGTTTGATGTTATTTGCGTCATGTTTTTGGTGGAACTATAAAGTGGTGTTTTCTGTGATGGTAGAGGTTCTTGAGCTTTGGAGAAATGGGGATGCTGTGTGCTTTGATGTGGATAGCACTGTGTGTCTGGATGAAGGGATTGATGAGCTTGCTGAGTTTTGTGGGGCTGGAAAGGCTGTTGCTGAATGGACTGCTAGGTTTCATTCTTTAACTGGGATTTTGTTAAAATTAGTTTTTTTTTTTTTTTTTTGTAGGAAAATGCTAACCAGTGTCCTAAGAAAGTAGAAAGTTTTTATTGAAAAATGTATTTGCATATTTTCTCGTGTAACTATTGTAGTTTTCAATAAAAAAAATTTCTACATATTTATTCTTTTAACGATGCTCTAAGGGCATTGGTTAGCATGAATTTTATTATTATTATTATTATTATTATTTCTTTTGTTGTTTGTGGCATCTGATTTGAGTGTTGAATTTTCGCAGAGCGATGGGTGGTTCTGTTCCATTTGAGGAAGCCTTGGCTGCTAGGCTGTCTTTGTTCAATCCCTCTTTGTCTCAACTTCAGAATTTTCTTGAGCAAAAGCCACCAAGGTATGACTGAATTTTGGTTTTGTTTAGAATCTTCAGTGTTTGCTGACTTTAGTTGAGCAGATTTGACGTGTTTATGAGAAATGAAACTTGATTGATCGGTGTACGAGTATTTTGCTTTTGATTTGGCCTTTAGCTGTAAAGTGACCTGGACAGTTCCTTGTGAATTCTGCAACTAGTCTTGCCTTATGCAATTGGGTTTTGACAGAACGGGGTGCAATTATTCTAGTCTTGAGCATTTTAGATTTGTTTCCATGTCACTAGGAGGTCATAGGTTCTAGTTGTGGAATGAGCCCATAGCATATGCAAGGATTCCTACAATAGACCTGCTCTGACCCATCCCAGGACCTCACCATGGAGAATAGCCCTAGATTGCACTTTTAGGCTTTTAATTTGACAGTGTAGAAAGGATTTATTTGAGCATTTTGTATGGAGTAATGCTACATGCAAGAAATTTCTTTTGACAGAATTTGGCCAGAATTTACCAAGATTCAAATAATGATTGTTAAATAAAAAGAAGTGGTGATGCATACTTCTCTATCTGAGAGTCAACAGCTGTGCAAATTAACCTGGCAAAAAATTCTGGGTGTCTAGTATTTTTCCTTTTGTACGATGTATGATCACACATCCTGATGTTGGAAAGACATCATCAGTTATCACAGTATCACTTGCAGTTTCTGTACTTGTGCAATGTCTTCCTTCAAGTGAAGAGAAATGATGTCAGATTTAGACCAAGGTCTACCATTTGCTATCAAACCCAGATTTTGGTGCCTGTTTGAGGTATCTATCCATGTCTGACTTTGAAAGACTTGAACAGATAATAAGGATACAGTGTAACAGCAAGGTTAGATTGACAGAACAAGAGTGTAGTCACTCACCTAGGATGGCCATGTAACCAAAACCCTTGTGAGCACTTTCTAGTAGTAACCAAATTTTTGAGAAAAGATATATACTTCTTCGGTCACGTAATGCAAATTTTAACATATATTTGCTTTTGAACCCTAACAAGAAGAGCTGCATGATTTTTAGAGCCAAAGGTTATATTCCTCTATATTCAAATTAAATTTTTTATTGTTATCAAAAGATAATTCAATAATGATTTATAAAAAATAAAAACACCCTGCATTTGATAAATTGAAAGTGGTGTAGACTCATGATGCGATATCACTTCTAATGACATTGACTTATCCCTAGTTATTATAAGCTTAAACTTTGATGAGACAAAGGGTTAGTAAATCACAAAAGCTTGTCTGTTTACTTTTTTCCTCTTCACTTTCTAATCTTTATTTGTCCAGTGAGTATCTTGACGTGTTTAGTTTAGAAAGATTTGGAATAATGTTTATGATTCTACTTTTTAATATGCAGGCTTTCCCCAGGCATTGAAGAGTTAGTCCAGAAGTTGAAGGCTAATGACATGGCTGTTTATCTGATCTCTGGTGGCTTCCGTCAAATGATCAATGTATGGAATAGCTGTATTAATGTTTTTCTGATTCATTTTGGGCTTAGGGGAGAGGAAATCAGTAGTTGCTAATATTGTGAATATGGAGAGAATATTTTATCTTCATGGAACACTGCCTTTGAAAATATTTGATAACTAGTACATACAGTTTTACGGTTCTAGGTGCAGAAAGTTAGTTAACTCATTGTCAAACTATTTTCTGGATAAACTAGGGTAAACTCTTTAATTCCGTGTAAACTTGCATGTACTCTCATGTTAAGAAGCAAGTTTGAAATCAAATGTAACTTTTGCCCCCCATTGACCCCACAATGTTAGTGTATTATCATGGCGCAAATGATTTGAAGAATTCAACTCCTTTCTAAAATGTTTCGCTTTATGGACTTACGATTTATACGAAATTATCTATGATTTTGTCATTTATGTACTTAATCTTATTTAGACTAATGTACTATAACACTTCATTATCGTGGTTTGTTACTTTGTTTTATTATGGAGTCGAAATGCTAAATTATTTTTATGTTAAGAGTATTATGTTATGCATATATATTGGTAGGTTTTTTAATATTATTTTTTATAATAAGGTTTTGAAAATGGGCTTGAGCAACCCCATCACAAATTGTACCAGTCATTTATGATGGGGTTGTTTAATCCCATTTCCACTTGATGTAAGTTAGACAACCCCTTTTATAATATGTAAACTCTTAAGGGTTGAGACTACGGAAGTTCCACGAGGTAGACTCTCATATTTGACAACCTTGGTCCTTACATGCCCATACTCTTGAAGGTTAGCAAAATGTTACTTTCTACACATATCTCCGCAGAATACAAACTAAATGTCAATTTTAATTTAGAATGTGAGGCTTGATGAAATCCGAAATTGGAATTTTGATCAAAACCTCTTCCGTGTCCCTTAAGTCATCCTGCAAGTTTGAGACACAATGAACATAGTTACCGGATCGTGTCTGTCTTTTGATGCCTTTCCCTGTCAAATGCTTTTCATAGCTTAATGTTGCCATGACATTTAGAATTTCATGCAGTGCTTTTGACATTTGATATGTTCTATAAAGTATAAATAAAGGATAAATGATTATATACTTTATTTTTCTGACTACTTGCACAATTTTTATGAAGCCTGTTGCATCAATACTTGGGATTCCACAAGAGAATATTTTTGCCAATCAACTACTTTTTGGTAGCTCTGGAGAGTTTCTGGGGTTCGATAAAAATGAGCCTACTTCAAGGAGTGGAGGAAAAGCTGTTGCTGTCCAACAAATCAAGAAGGTTCAGCTTGTTAATCTAATTTTTTTTTAACTACTTACATTCTTGTAAAGCTGATCAAACTGGTTTTTAGGCGCATGGTTTCAAAACTTTAACTATGGTGGGAGATGGTGCTACTGATTTTGAGGTAAGAAAATTCTGTGTATTTCCTGGTAATTTTATGAAATGTCTCATTTCCAACTGAGTTTTAGAGTAAACTTCCATTTTAGTCCTGATAGTGTAACCCATTGTGACGTTAGTCCCTAAAACTAAGGAAATTCCAATTAAGTTGATGAAATTTCCTGTTGTTTCATCCAAGTCTGTAAAATTAATCACTTACTATCATTTTGGTCCATAACATGTTAATATTATCACTCAAGTCACACATTTCTTTTTTAATCCTGGACTAATGTTATTGAAGAATTGTACTTTTAGGACTTTTTTTGAATTTTACAAATTTCAGTCCAAGGCTAATGTGACAGTGCTATACACATTCATGGATTAAAATGGTAGTTTAAAGGGTTTTATGATTATGCTTGTTTTTTGTATTTTATTTTTTTGTGTTTAATCTAAAACCAATGATATCTGACTGAACAGTACAGTGGCATGCAACATCTTTTCATAATTTATGACAATTTCATTTTCTTCTCTGTACATTGTCATACTAAACTAAACTAACAGCTTTTAGATTTCACATACAAGACCAAAAGTAATGTTGAGTTGTTAGGTGAATAAACTTAGTTTTACAGATATTTTGGCCAAAGATGTTAGCAATACATTTTTTAACCTACTCTTTCTAACACATTCTTAATTATCTGTTAAAATTCATTAGAAAATACAAATTCATAAGTAGGACTCATTAAATAAGAAGTCGAGTCATTGTTAGTTTTTTCTCTCTTGTATTATAGCATATTCATGTGTGATAGTAATTTGTGTACTTTTTATGACCCCACATTTAGGCTCGTAGACCAGGTGGTGCTGACTTGTTCGTCTGCTATGCGGGTGTTCAACTTCGAGAATCTGTTGCTACAAAAGCTGATTGGCTAGTTTTCAATTTTAAGGACCTCATAAATTCCTTGGGGTAACATTTTTTTTTTCTTTTTTCATTTTGTTTTCTTCTGAGCCGGCTTGAGAAGTTTCTTATATTAAGGGGATGTGAATGTAACCACCATCTCACTTTTTAAAATTTTTGGACTTATGTTTTATTGATTTATTTGGTGTATAAAAAAATATTAGTATGAGGATTCTCTTTCAGTTGTTTTCAACTTTGGAGAACCCCGATTGGATGGATTATACAAGAGTGAGAAATCGAATAAATGTACATTTGGTGCCTTTTCTTACTAATAATTGCCATCTAGCTTTTTTCTTGGTAAATTAAATTATTTCTTCTTTCATTATTATTATTATTATTTAATTTCATGGGTATTATTTTTTGTGCAAATTCTTGCTAATTTAGGCTGTTGTGTTGCTTTTTTAAGTTTTTTTTAATCAATAGAAAAAATTACAAAAAGGGTAAGAAAATTCGAATTTTAAGATTTTGTATATATTACTCCAATAACTAGGATGATCTTAGAAGTTATTTTACGAGTTTAAATGTACTTCAGCAACAAGTTTTCTTAAAGTTGTCTAGTGGATGTTATGAATGCCTTGACTTTTTTATTTCTAGCATTTATAAGTGGACCCTTTGGGCACGAAAGCATTAACAATCAAACTGGCATTTGTTTATAGATATTAAGGTTATGATATCACGTAGAAAAACTTCACTTGTTTAAGATAGTTGAAAAATGGTTACGCATGTTATGTCTACCTAGCAAGTATAAATTTTTATTTGTGTTGTGCGTATAAACATACTTATAAGTCCCAAATTTATTGTAGATTTAGCATTTGGAATTTTTTTTTTCCTTCTAATTAGCTTATCATGAATTATTTAACTATTACAATTAAAAAATAATATATTTATTAAAAAGTAAGATTATTTTAGTAAAATTGTATAAAAAGTAATACATTAATTGTTATTCTTAATTAGTGTATTAAAACTTTAAATTGAGTATTTTAGAACGGATGGATGGAATACAATAAAGTTATTCTAATGTTTTAGCCCATGCATCAATGACATATCTATCTATGATCTCAAATGGTAATCACAAGTACTATCCAAAAAGATGATTTCTGTCCATGTGAGGACTTTATTTGTTAGGACCTTATTGGTAAATAATTTGTAAAACATTTATAAAGCCTTGAGCCCTATACTAGCGACTGGTCTGGAGGATATATTTGGTATTTTGAAATGTTCAAATAAAATCAGGAATGCGAAGAGTAAAAAAGAGGAGTGCAAATAGCAAACCCCATTTTAATAAAGTGGCATTATGGTTGATAGCATGTCCATTAAATTAAAGAAAATGAGTTATTATGGACCAAGAAAACAGATAAGAAAATGGGTTGTCCAAAGACAATAATTTTGGGCCTATTTATTAAATAACCTTGAGCACAAATACTCTACCTTCTGCACCAAATGACATACTCTATAATTTGGTTTTGACACTTAAACTTAAATAGTAATGTTATATGTGTAACAAAAATTGTAGTATAACTTGTATAAGATAGAGATAGATAAACACAAAAGTAATGTACATGTAACATTGCTCAAAATACTTTAAATTCTATTAAGTTTTTTGCTCAACAAGCATTGAGCCCGTGATTGGCCCAACTCAAATTTACCTAATGAAATGTAGGTTTAAATTTTTAAATTCGAATCCGAATTAAATGTTATTTTAGTCCGACTCAAATATATTTTACATAATGATTGTAGATGGTAGAAAAAAATTGGCCAAGTGCTGAAGAAATTGAGGTAGGTGTTTTAATTTTTGAAATCGAAAGGAGCATATGAAAACATTTGATAAGATCCCAGGATATGTTGTAAAAGAGAATCAAAATGACATTTCAAAAAGATATCAAGAGAAGTCAAGATTGTTAGATAATTCTGTTGAAAACATTAAGGTCTATGGTTTGATGTTCAAGACAATAGTTTCATGGTATTCAAGAAATTAAGGTAAAGATCAAAATAGCGTTTTTGAAGTCATAAGAATCAAGGTTGGTCCAATCTATTGAAAGGGTATTTTTCAACGAATGTGACATATACAAGACTAATAAAAACATAAAAAGACAATTGTCAAGATTGAAGGTTTTTTCAAGACAAATATCTCTAAAGCAATTATCAGAAGTTATCGAAGTCATTGCAAGTTATTTTATTAGATCATAGTTTGGGACAAGTGTCAAAGTAATTTAGGACAACTATCGAAATTTTTCAAAGAGGTTAGTCTTTAACTATAATCTTGTACACGGGTTGTATTTTTTCTTAATCTAATTTTTTTTAACACAATAAACAAACAAATAAATCCTAAATGTCTACTATTATAACTATTAGCTAAAACATATTCGAGTATCTAATTTTACTATCATTTTAATAAAAATTATTTACCTTCCTATTTCATTAAAAAAAAATTCTTTATTTTTACATTGCAATTATTTCTTGTTCATTTCATTTCATTTAATGTTATTCTTGTTTATTTTTTTTTGTTCGTCCCTGAAATATCCACCGCCAATAATAATGACTAATCTTCTCGCTACATTGGAGACACCTCAAAGGGTGGGATAACTAGTCCCAAGATTTAACGCGGCTGCATACACAAGGCAGGATTCGAACCCCTGACCTTGCTTAATTTCATATCATTCTTTTTTATTTCATTTTTTATTTATAGCTAGTTTAGTGTTTATTTATTATGTTCATTTAAAAATTCAATTTTAATACTTTAAAAATAAATTATCAATAATTAAAAATAATTGTGTCACAATATAAACTATTTACCATAAATCTAATTTATATATTTCTAAAATATTTATTATAGAGTTTTTAAATACAATTTATATATTAAATATAACATTTATTTGTATATATAATTTATTATAAATCTTAATTATATATATTAAAATTTTAATCCATACATTACATTTGTACATACAAAAAGATTAGTGTTTATGTAATATAGAAAAAAACTGCTTTTCTTAACCAAGCTACTAAAACAAAAATATAATTTTAATAAGAAATGAATATCAAAAGCAATTAAAAAAAAAAACTTTATCATCTCAAAACAAAACCAATCCCAATCACCAAAACATACAGGTATTTAATGAAGTGGTACTTAAATATCCATTTCGGTACTTTAATGCCTTTCTCAATCAAATTAATCAAAATCCTTAGTTGTCAACATTATCAATCTACTATGTTTTATGTTCAAAACTAATTTATTTATTTGTGGGCCTTCCTCATTCATTCTAACATGTTTTGTTTCTTTTGTCAGAAAGATGGGTTCAAGCTAGCCCCTTGAAAGAAAAATAAAATAAAATCAGTTCAGGTGTCTATCTCATGCTTATGATTTCATCATGTTCTTCATTTTTTTTCCATGTTTGCTTATCTCATATGCTTGTTACACCAATATGTGATACATTCCATAATTCGACATGGTTAACATATATTCTTAGAGAAGAAAGAAAATGCACCCACATTATAAAATAGATTTAGAGTTTAGCGTATGCATGATAATGTAAAATGAATTTAGTATGTATATGATATGTTAATTTTTATAAAAATTATATTAAAAATTATATCAATAGTGATATATGATTTATGAATCATATAAATATTTTATGCTAAATTGAACTCTTATGGTAAAAAATAGATTATTTTTAAAAAAATTATAATTAATTCAATTCAAACTGAAATAAATTATATTAGGTTCGATTGTATTTAATTTTAAAATTAATTCAATTTTTTAAGGGTAAAATTAATTTGATTAAAAATATATAAAAATAAAAAAATAACTGAGTTAAATGATTTTTCCTCATCAAAACTATACTCCTTCCATTTTTTTTTCATAGTCGTTTAAGGTTTTACACGAGATTTAAGGAAATGATTAATATTTTAGTTTTCAAAAATATTTATTACTTATTTTCCTATTCTACCTTTTTTTTTTTCATTTTTGATACCATTGAACTGTAATCTAATTCATTAATTATTAATGCATTGATTACGCATGTAAATTGTAACCTACTTTATTTAATTACACATGTGAACTGTAGCCTACTCCTTAATCTACTCCATTAATTATTAATGCATTTAGTTACTACATGTGAATAGTAAAGAGTTTTCTACCCTTTCTAAAGTTAAAGAATCTTGTAAATAGCTGTCCTTTTTTCTGTTTTTTTATAAGTAGTATTTCGTTGGGAACATATTACCCTTATAAATGCAACATTAACTTTACATAGGTGGTTGGAAAAAAAAAATAGGTAGACATTAAAAATAAATAGACACATTGTTCAGTAAATATACATTAATTATCAAGGGTAAAAATGGAAGAAAAAAAATTTAATAAGTCATTAATTTTAGTAAAATAACAATGGAAAAAAAAATAACAAATTATGACAAAACGACTATGAAATAAAAACGGAGAGAATATTTAATTCATTTGTTAAACACATTTATTATTAACTTCTCACGCATAATTAATGTTTGTTGATTCAATTGATGCTGCATATAGTTCTTAAACATTAAAGTCTCAAGTTTGAGTCTCAAGGTCTTAAGGGAGATAATTTTTAACGAAGTCAATAAATATTTCTATCAATACTATAATAAATAAATAAAAATTGTGTAAGACATTGATTTCGATCACAATATCGACTGAGGGTGGGGTTATTTCCCTTGATATCTAAAGTTGTTTTGCTCCCCAATGCATTATTACGACATTATCTCTTAAGCATGTTGTAAGAAATTTGATACCTAATCAGTGTTGAAAAAGGTCAACTCTTTGAATTATTCTCAGTATTTCAAAGGATCAATTGGCTAAGGAATATCCTAGTTTTAAAAAAATTGGTGTACTTTTAGTTAATTTGCCTCGAAAGCAATTGAGAAAATAGTAATTAAAATTGAAAAGTCATTTCCGTTTTTCCAATAAAAGTCTAAATTAATTTATACGTATATTTTGTTTTGGAAAAATGTATATGTATATTTTTGGTTAAGAAAATTAGAGTTTTTTTTTATCTTGCATAACATAGAGCTTTTTTTTTTTTTTTCGTAACCATAATTTGATACGAAATATTCACTCTTGAAAGTAATGAATAATCTCCACCAATGATCGTTAGCACATACAAAGTAGGTATTCTTCTTCAATATAGTCTATTCCATACTCAAAGTCAGAATTCAAACTCTAAATTTAGTTAAGAGACACAAGACACTATTGCTTATGTAAACCAATATTTATAAAATAGAGCTTATTTCATTTTGTTACTAGGAATCTTACTCGAGAAATGATATTTATTAA